GTAGATAAAGTATATACATTTACATACAGCTTAAAACCTGTACAAAACATCCGTTCAACAACTAGTTCAAATATACAAATAATATATAAACACCTAGCACGTATTTTATAAAGAATACTTCATATCTATGTGTTATAAGAAAATGAATATACACTCACTTGATCAGAAGATGATCGGACAGCACTACGGCTCTAAAAGTAGTATTCTTCGGTGAAACCGGGAGATCTTCACACACCGGGCTTCTCGCGGGTAAGTTTCGGCTCAGAAAATTTACTTCTCGGGATTTTCGGGGCTTCGGGACTCGCTTCGGGTCTCGGGTTGATACCGGGGCTTCGGGGGTATAATTTTCACGCAAATCGAGGCAATAAGGAGTGAGAGAGAAGAAATGAGCAACAAATCCTGGAGGCCTTGCATTCTATTTATAGGGTTGGAGTCAGCCGCGAACGCAGGGCGTTCCCTTCGAACGCGGTGCGTAGGGAGCGGGGTTCCGATCCTATCCCTTATCCGTTGAGTCAGCATCGACGTGGCCAATCCGAAGCCAAGCACTGAACGCGGTGCGTTCCCCAAATTGAACGCGGGGCGTTCCCACTTTGGGATGCGTGCCACGAACTTCAGAAATTCATAACTTTTGCATACGATCTCCATTTTTGACGTTCTTTATATCCACGCGTAGGTGAGGTTATGCTCTACAACTTTCGTTTAGACTCTGTCGGCTAATTTTGATTTATTTTTATTATATTATTTTTAGTAGGCCGGGACAGGAAAACTCCGTTATAAATCCATAACTTCTTCATACGACGTCCGTTTTCGTCTGTCTTTTTACCGTTGCACTACTATTGACGAGATCTTCGATTCTCGTTTAGATTGTTTCGGCTAGAAATCACTCGATCTCATATTCGAACTTCAGGCTGCATACTGCTAAGCCGAAACTTAGAAAAATCATAACTTCCTCATACGAAGTCAGATTTAGACGTTCTTTTTATGCACGCTCTCGGTTTAACGTATTCTACATCTTTCGTTTAGATCACTAAGGCTAAATATCACTCTATCTTACATTCATATTTTTACGTCATTCAGCATCGTGTCGGTTCTGTCGCGAAACTTCGACAGGTCATAACTTCTTCGTTATAACTCGGATTTCGGCATTCTTTATATATTCGGAAACCTTGTCACGACCACTTCGTCTTCATGTATCGATATCGGTTCTATCTAATATTTCATTTTTACGCTTATTTTTATTCTTAATTCAATTAAGCCACACAATTAAGCATAAAACACATACTCAAATAATACCTTCTTATTAATTCAAAACGAGTTACAAAGGTTAAACTAGACTATTACATCAATATTAATGCCTAGCCTAGAAACGCGGGTGTTACAATATCTATGTGCACATGATTGTCCTGGTTATAGGATGATGCTATGTTAGTGACCGGTTAGGTCTGTATCCCGGTTATTGGGATGTTGCTATGATTAGTGATCTGTTAGATCGGTTTGACTGATATATGATATGAGCTAGCGTCTGATATTTATGTGCACATGTTTGTTTGGTTGGGGGTTGGGTTGAGGCGGTCCTGCTTTGTGCTGTAGGCCAACATACCCAGCGAGCGGTCCGGATAGGCTGTAGGCCCTGCGACGCGGTCCAGTCATGCCGAAGGCTTGGGAGCGGTCCAGATAGGCTGTAGGCCCTGCGAGGTGGTCCAGTCAGGCTGAAGGCTCATTATGCATGTTGTTCTGTATTTGCTGATATGATATGAGTATGGTTATATGAGGTTGGTATTTTGGGGGAAACTCACTAAGCTTCGGGCTTACAGTTGTTGATTTTATTTCAGGTATTTCTGATGATCGCGGGAAGGCGAAGGCGTGATCTTGCACCTCCTCATATTTTCATGATTGATTCTGGGGATACTCTGATGCTTAAACTATTTTGAAAACAAATTGTAATAACTTAATGGTTTTAAATGTTTTAAAAAGTTTTAAATTGGCTTGAATTTTATGGGTGTTACAAAATAAGCTTTTAATGGAGTTTTGGGACTGGGCTGCGTACGCTGGGCGTACCTGCTGGTACGTTGCGCGTACATAGTTAGTGCCCCACTTTTGGTCAACATCAGAGTACGTTGGGTGTATTATTTTGGTACGCAGGGTGTACTCCGATGGGAAGAAATATTGACTTTTGGACATTGACCGTTGACTTTGACTTTTGACCAGGGTTGACCAAGTTTGACTTAAGGTTATTTTGTGTATTTTGAGCTATAGTTAAGCCTTGGTCTCTATCTGTTGAATAGGTAACAAGTAGAGCCGGTATCCGGAGCAGTGTATTGTTCAGCTATTCGTCCGACAGTGAGGTGAGTTTTCCCCACTATGAAAAATCTAGGCGTTACATTTAGGCTTTGGTTTCTTTATAATTTTTGAGATTACTAAACATGCTCTGCAGATCCATAGTTTTAACTTTCTCACTATTCTTGAGAACATCAACATTATGTTCCCACTTCTCATCAAGTGAATCAAGAAACTTAAGAACAAGAATAGTGTCATGATTTAGAATGTTAACTCTTCTAATATCATTAATAAGACAATTAAAGCGATTAAAGGTTTGAGTAAGAGATTCATTATTGTAGGCAAAAAAATGTCCATACTTTCGATTTAGAGCGTTACAAATGGCAACTATGGGACGAGCATCAAGATTCATATGCAACTAGTTTCTTGCTAGTCAGGTGTGTTTCAATTCCACTGTCGTTAAAAAAAACATGGCGTATTGTGTAGGATGAAAATATTAAATGGGATGAAAGAGTTTGACCTTACACGACCCATGTAACTAAGATGTCGTGTCAACTCGTTTATTTTTGTGTCAGGTTAGTAGGTTAGGGTTTAGAACTTGTAATATATTATCATTTTAGGTTGAAACATTAAACATGTTGAAATAGTAGGAGTTGGATAGACAGAAAGAAAAAGTGAAAAAAATAGAAATATTAAGAGTTGGGAGGTGGAGGGCGATGTCATGAGAAGGGAGTGGTTGAATGTGACTGTGGGTTATGAGAGGGAAAGAAAATAAAAATGAAATAAAGTTTTCACCTAGGCGGTTAAGTCGTTCTAAATTACAACGCGACTTAACCTAATGTTATTCTTTTATATATGGTTTTTGAATTTGGTTTGTCCAATTTATCTAAAGAATTAAAACAAGTTGTATATAAACAAACAGAGTGATTTTCGAGTTGAGATTTTCAAGCCCTACCTTACGCGTTTACTTTTCGTGTCGTATTGTGTTAATCTTGTTTAATTAAACAAATTAAAAAGTCTTACCTGGACCCATTTATATCATGTCGAGTTTATATCAGATTAATATATCATGTCAGTTTTTATCACCTCTATTTTTATTAAGCCCTTTATCAATAATGATTAGTTTTATAGATGCTTCTTTGGGTTTTTATTGTTGCTTCGACATGTGTTCTTAATGATGTTAAAATTTTAGAGGTTGCGACAGTAAAAACTTGGTGGATCTGGTTGGTGCATGTTAAGGTTAATTTTTTTTTTTGGAGGATGGATTTAAATAAGATTCCTACTATAGTTAATCTGGATATGAGAGGTATTTATATTGGTTATGTTAGGTGTCCCATTTGTGATCTTGATGTTGAGACGATTGTTTTCTTGTGATATGGTGATGGAGTTGTGGGGTTTTTTACGAGATGGTAAGAATTGGACTTGTCAGTTTCTCTTCCTTATCAGAATGGTTGTCTTGGGTTTATAATGTTCGAATGCCACTTAAAGCTAGGAGATGCTTGGATGCAGTCGGCTTGACGATGTTTTGATCGAATTGTCAAGACGTTGCTTTGAGATTTTATTCAATCCCAATTGTTTATTTGGATTAGTAATGGAACCTAAAATTTATGTTTAGTGGGTAGTTTGGGTGAAAAAACCATTTTTTAGAAACTTCAACTATGTAATTTTTTCTAGCAATTGTTAGTTTTTTTTAATGTTAATACCGTCATTCAAACAAAAATAATGATTAGTTTTATAAATATCATAAAATAAAACATAAAAACTATCGTTTGCCATCCACTTGAGATTAATTTGTATACATCATGTATGGACTTCAATGATGAAAGTCCACCTACCTTTTGAGGTGGTCGTTTGGACAGTTACCAAAACTCCAAAAGTGGCTTGGGGTATAATGTTTTCATATATATATATATATATATATATATATATATATATATATATTTATATAACATTAGGTTAAAACCCGTGGGACCCATGGGTGTTGAACTTTAATTGAATTTTAAAATTAATTAAATAATAAAATAAAATTTCATTAATTTTGACAACTTATGAATTGTAATATTGAATTTTTCAAAAACTTTTTGATTTGTAAGTATTTAATTACAAACTAAATCATAAGTATTTAATTAGAAATAGAGTTTTTTGAAAACCCTTATTTTTGGTGCATGATTCTTGTTGGACATACGCAGATGATGCATTACCGGTGTGTGTAATGAAATTAACATAAAATAAACAATACGTAATTATAAATAAATAAAGTAATATGATGTATTAAGTGTGATTTGCTAAAAATGAATAAAATATGCTACAAAAAAGTTGGCTACAAATTTTGAAAAACTTCCTTATAAACAACATTGGAAGTTTTATTTGTGACTTTGCCATCTTTATCTAAAATTAATAATTTTAATCATTCTCTGCTTTGAACTCTAGATAAGGCAACATACAATTGTCCATGTGAAAAAACTGGATCTTTGAGAAACAAACCAACCTTTGATAACGATTGTCCTTGACTTTTATTAATAGTCATTGCAAAACATATGGCCAAAGAAAACTGTATTCTTGTGAATTTGAAGGGAATCTTTTTTTCTGATGGAGTTAAAGACATTCTTGGAATAAAAGTCTGGTTTCCAATATTAGTTCCAGTTATTATATGTGCCTCAATAACACGTTTGCCCAATGATAACACATGTAGTCTTGTGCCATTACATAAGCCGTTTTTCTGATCAATCACCAATTTTTAAAACTAACTTATGATTTGGTAAACCGTATACTTTGAGACCATTTAATACATCAGGAGAGTATAAATTTGAATCAAACTGATCATGGACAAATTCGGATTCACATATGCTGTCTGAACTTAAATATTCAACTTCATCTCCTGGAAACTTGTTAAGCAAACGGTCGTTTATTTCCTGAACAACTTCATTTTTTGGAGCAAGTATCGCTCTTTCTTCGAAATAATTTGTGTTACTATAGTTCTCCAAAATTGACGGATATACAAACTCAATTAAGGAACCTATAGAATCATGTGAATCATTAATGAGAATATCATCAGGAATATCGATAATCGTTTCACCGTCATTCGGACCACCAAGTTTGCCTTCTCCTATATCCAATAGCCAATTTGCAAAATCTCTTATTTTTCGTATATCAGATTGATCCCTTCCAACAGTTAGCCTCATGTTTTTTTTGTTAATCTATGGACTTTGCAATGTTGTCATAAATATGAAGAACTCAAAGAAGCATTTACAATGTTCTGTCTACTGCCACCCGGAACAACAGGTAGAATCTGTCTAAAATCTCCTCCAAAGACAATAACTTTCCCTCCAAATGGAATATTTGAGATGGTTGAATTTCCACACCTTAATAAATCCTTCAAAGTTCAATCTAAAGCTTCAAATGCATGCTTATGGACCATAGGTGCTTCATCCCAAATTATTAAAGAGGTTTTTTCTTATTAAGCTAGCCAACTCACCATCTGGATTTATTTTACAAAAAGAATCCTCTGTAAGTTCAAATGGAATTATAAATCGAGAGTGTGCTGTTCTACCACCGGGCAATAATAAGGAAGCAATACCGCTTGAAGCAACATTTAAGACAATATTACCATCAAATCTAATTGCTGCTGATATTGTATTCCATAAAAAAGTTTTACCTGTTCCACCATAACCGTAAACGAAGAAGACACCTCCTTTATTTTCTTGAATAACACTCATGATGTTTAGGAAAATGTTACGTTGCTCATTTGTTGATGCAAGAAACATACGATCATAGTCATTCTTTAAAACGGGAATGTCGTAATCTAGCTCCTCGGTGATTAGTCGATTGTTTGAAGAAGAAACGGATTCAACATCTGGGTATGGCATATTTTTGAAGTTTTTGAGAGTAGAGTTGTTTCGAAGTAAAATTTGTTCTATTTCGAACAAAGTTAAGTTTTTAAGTTCATCTACTCCGAGTGACAATTCTGCACGAAAATATTAAATAATTTAGAAAATATGTGGTCGATATTTAATAATTTTATTACTAATTTTATTTTATTTTATTTTATTTTATTTTATTTTATTTGAACCGGCAAATACAAATATTATAATCTACTCCTAAACTAACACCTAATTCCACCTATTTCCACCACGGGACTTGAACCCTCAACCTCAAGGAGGGAGGGCATCACCTGATACCGTTGGAGTAGAAGCCCTTTGGTTGTTGAATAATAAAAAGAAATTAAATAAAGTAAAAAATAAGAAAAAAATGTAATAGCTGCAGACTTAAATCTTTGTCGTTGGTTATATAGAATTCTATCTGCCAAATATTCCCATGTATTTTCCCAAACGACCTCTGGTTTAGACATACTATTACACATCAACAATGTAGCAAATAAGAAACGTATATAAAAACCAGATCCAGAATGACTTGCTTCTTTAATTGCATCAATGTATTCCTTGTCATCATCTAATAGCCCGAGTGCATAACAAACATCTCTAAAAGAAGAATGTCTTTGACCATTTACCGTGAGAATTTCATCAAATGATGTCGGACCTTTTACTTTATTTAAAAGAATCCTTAAGAAATATGCTTCACTTAGTTTAGGTGAAACCGAATGAATTCTACCGATGACTTTTCCTACTTTCCTTCGCTTCCAAAACCGACCATTTAATATCCAAACAAACTTTGTAGGAAATTCAACATATGTAAGTTTTCGTGCTTCACTGTCGATTGCATTACACTCCATCCAAGATGTGAACTTTGAAGCCGCAACAAAAGGTTTGTCAAGAACATCATCAATATCATCGTCTTCGCCATATACAATTTGTTGTTGATTAGGTAGATGAAAAGGTAGTCTGACAACAGAAGGATATATGCAATGAACATCATATTTAAAAATTCGCCATGATGCTTCACATGCTGATAAATATCTACAATCGTAATATTCAGCTATTTCATCGACCACATCATTATTTTCACATTCATTGTTGGCTGGTACAACAGCAACTGTAGCTCTGTCAGGACCCTTATTTATGTATTTAAACAAATACTTTATAGAAGATCCCTGATTGCACCATTCAATATTAATATGTGCCCGGTATCTTTTCAATAGATATTTGTTGTATGGAACAACATTTCTATTATCCAACCTTACACCTGATTTTTCTACAAAATGACCATCATTTCTTCGCCTGTATAACGGAAAACCATTTTGATCAACAGACGAATGATTACAGAATTGTTTTGGAAAGCTTTTAGAGCACTTTTTGTCCACCGTGCATGGACAATTCATATTTTCAGCTCCACATGGACAATGAATCATAAACTCATTCACAAGTGAATACAATTCAGGATCTTCAATTCTGTCTGGTATCTCGGCTGAAATTATCAGATTGATAAGTTCAACAGTTGGTAGCTTGTTGTCAGAATGCATGAATAGACATATATGACTATGCGGCAAACCTCTTTTTTGAAATTCAATGATATAAACATCTATAAAAGAATTTGCAAAAAATATGTGATTAGATTATAAAAACATATAAAAAATATAATAATAAGAGTAATGTTTTATAAATAATTAAAAAATATAGTTTTAATTACATGCTTGAACTTTGCCGAAAATTTGATTCTCCCTTAAGTCTTTAATGAATGCATCAAGCTTGATCTTGAACAACCTACATAATATATCATGTCTGTCTTCTGGTTGAAGTGAAGTATCCTTAAGAAACCTTTTAATCTCAGGCCATTTGGGATTACACGTAAAGGTTATGAAAAAATCAGGATATCCAAACCATTTACATAGTGACATAGCATCCAAATAGTTTTGCAACATATAGCGTGCTCCACCAGTAAAGGACGAAGGTAATATGACACGTTGGCCGACATTGGAGATATCAGTCGTTCCTTGAGCTTTTTGGTTACGTAAATTTTCATAAGAATCACATCTAAGAACATGTTGTTGCCTACGTATGTAGTACAATCTCTCCGTTTCCATCATAGTATAGGCATCTACCAGAAACTGTTGAAACAACCTTTTTGAATTAAGAATGAGAGAGAACGAATGATCTCTATCTTGAATCCTATAAGCGAAATATTCTGTCATTGTACATTTCGCACGCTTGGTGTTGGTCGTAAATGACACGCCTCTATGAAGAATGTCAACACTGTAACCATCATCCCCATATGGAAATAGTAATGGATATTGGAGAGGAAGGTACGAAGGATGCAACTCACTGATACGTTGTAGAGAGCCATTTTTTGTTTGAACGACGATATCCCTCTTTTCAATTGAATCAGAAATGTCACCAATAATTAAAGCAGCAACCTCAGAAGCAGTCGGTAGATTATATGTTCTTCCATCCTGCTCCCTTCTCCCGATAAGTCGTAATTTCATATCAACTTCTGGATTTTTCAGAAAAGTATCTCTCACCATCCTATAAGATCTAACCAAGACATTATTTGAATCCAACATCACCTTAATATCTTCAATAACATCACTATCAATTGATGTCGATTGATCCTTTTCCCCACTAAAATAAATAAATTTATACATAATATTAGTAATATATATATATATATATATATATATATATATATAATAATAATAATAATAATAATAATAATAAATTATGAATAAGAAGTTTGAATAAATACCGAAAACATCTTTGTCTATTTGCAATTTCGTTCTCAGTATCATAAATGTATAACTGAGAGAATTTTGGTTCCGATCCTTTTGCTGGTAAAAGACTTCCAATACTATGATAATTTTGACCACCCAATCTGAAAATGTATGGAGCGTTTCCTCTATTGATTGAAGAATCAATTTTACCACCCATCGACGTAAAAGAAAACATTGAATTGTAACGTCGAATGTTTTTCATGAAGTGTTTGCTTTTAGAATCCGTATTTCGGAACATTTTTTCACAAGTTGAGGGTGCTTTCTTTAAATCTGGAAGTTGAACTTTGCCGTAAGCACAACATAATGAATAATCCGTGTTCCCTTTTTCTTTACCTCTAATGGATTCATTTCTCTATAACTTTGCATGACATGTTTGACATACAACATGTTGATCACCATGATCCAAATATTCTGTAAAATAAAAGCGTAGAAGAAAATATCAATGAAATTTAAAAGTATATACAACATAGTATTTGAAATGTAAAATTGATATTATTTTTTGATTACCATTTGAGATACCAACAATAAGATTTTCATTGTTGACTTGATGTATATTTTCTACATCTTATGTCAAATCAATCAATGGGATAGGGGATAAATTTCTCGTCTTCGTTTTTAATTTATGACATCTTGGATTTAACTTGATTGATGATGAAGAATCGGTTACTGTAGATGCATTTTTTGATGTCATTTCATTTGAAAGTACATAGTACTGTCTTTTGTTTGGTAACTTGGAAGTGACATTTTTATCGAAACTGATGTTATCTGACAAAAAAAAATAAAATAAGTATATATATATATATATATATATATATATATATATATATATATATATATCCCGATTATATACAAAATGGATAATAGTATATTTTAAAAACAATAAATAATTACAATTTCTAATGTTAGATAACGGATTTATAACATTTGTAATGTTAGAAAACGGAGTTCTAACATCTGTAAAGGAAGGACAATATTGTATGGTTGTGTTATGCATTGCAGGTGTTCTAAATGAATTGACATTTTGAGTTTGACGAACAATGTTGGTTGATTGATCTGCAAATAGCAACAACTTATAAAACGTGTAAATATATGTATACAACTATCTAACAGTAAAACATAGAATATAAAATAATAATACGGTTACACTTAATGATATTTTTTAAGAGATGCTGTAATGATGTATTTGGAACGTTCGATGTTGTTTTCATTTTCTTCGATCTTTTATTTTCCAAATATATTTTTCTTTGTCTTCTTTTCTCTCTGGCCTGCATGTGGTACATGTTACTGTTGTTTTCTGCATAAGAAGACATAGGATAGGATATGAAATGTGAAATTAGGTAAATAATATGTTTATATAATACAATTGAAGTTAGTTAAAAATAAATAAATAATAATAATAATAATGTAAATGTATTTATAAAGTTACCTTTCTTAATTCGTTTATTAAAATGTGTAACAAAATTTGCAAATATTAATTTACTCAATCCTAATATTTTTAAAAAAATTAGTCAAATGAAATCTTTAAAATTTTAAATAATATAAAATAGATATTTTGTATTTGTTTATATTGTGTAAAAGAGAAATTAATTAAAAATATTAAAGTTAACATGAGTCCGAGTCAGATCCAAAGGTAGATATGGGTCGGAGTCGGATCCAAATAAGATTCGAAACCGACACTTAGTGTCAGTAGTCACATGTGTTGTAGTTGTAGAAAGAACTCCGGTAAAAGAAGTCGCAATACTCTCCCAACAACTCTCTCTCTACAGACGTCTTCTTCATCACTCACTCTGTCTATCTTTCTCTCTCTGTGTTTGTGTTTTCGTATCAGTAAGCCTAAAACCCAATTGGTTTCACAGAAAATCTGAAATTTCGGTGTTTGTTTACAACGACTCCAATCGGCCATAGACGGTCGTCGAAGATTAGCCGTCAATGACTCTCCTCGATTCCCCAACAATCGATCGCAATCAACAACGCATGAAAGGGAACCTCGAAGATTTCATCTACGATGCCCTCTCCTCCTCCGATTTGGTCTCCGTCAGGATGAAAAAAGACGATCCAAAGGTAGACTCTCCTTCTTCCAGTGCCACCATCAATTATTTCCCTGATGTGCATCATGACTCATCATCCTCATTTCCAACCTAGGGCTTATTCCATTTCCATCTGCTCTTTCCCCAATTTCAACCAATTTTGCGTTCGGATGATATCAGGGGGTAAAACCCTAGTTCTCCATGGAAACAATGAAGGTAAAATCGTTTCATACACGAAAAGCGGTGATGATTAAAAATGGATTATTGATCCTAAACATCTATTCCAGCATATTTTGTTACAGTTAGTAAGAGTGAAAGTCTATTTAGATTTCGGTAACACATTTTGTTCGAGTATTTACATATTTTGATTAAACATCGGTTTGTGACATCTATTTCACAAGAGATAACACATTTTGCTTTATTATTTGCAGATATTATAACAGATGAAGATATTCAAAAACCGTGAACACAAAAGTTTGTTGCTTAAAGATCTTGATGTAATGTTACAAGGTACATAATATTTTCTTAGTGAAGATGACTTTTGATCGATGTTTTTCTTTAGTTTGGTTGGAATTGGAATTCAATTCCATTCCAACATTTGGTTGCAAATGAGTATGGAATTGGAACCCAATAAATCGATTAACTTTCAAAATTCAACCATAAATTCATAGAGAAACCAATGTAATCTAAACTCATAATACTAACCTGACATATGAATATGGAAATCTTGCAGGAAGTAAGAGGGCTTTAAAATGAAAAGCAGTTGACGTGTGAACTGGAATGAGGAATAGAACTTGTATGAAACAGATTGATGTAACCTTGATGAAAAAAGATTCGCAGAAGCAATTGAAACATAAAGAAGACGAATGAGGACTTTCAAAATTATGGATTCCACGTTCTGAGGTAAATTTATATATATATATTTATTCAAATAATAACTTCACAATATACTCCCTCATTTTATGATTTTATTGTTGTTGCATTTTTATTGGATAAAATTTTGTTCCAAATTTTATGGGATTTAAAAGATTACAACTGAAATTAATTTTAATATACGATTTGATTTAAAAAGGGAGTATAGAAAACTAGGAAACAGTAAATTAAATATACGAAATTTATAGAGGATCTTCATATAGTAAATATGCTGCAACCATTAGAAAAATATATGAATTAATTGCATGTGTATTTTGTTCAAATATAAAGTATTTAACAGAATATATTAATATACAGATTACGTAAAAAACAATGTGAACATATAAAAGTTATATAAGTCGTTATTAAAAAAAAATTAATTAAAAATTTGATAGTTATTGTATGCTATATTTTTCAGTTTTGGTCGAAGGGAGACATGAACACTGTAAATAAGACTTAGTAAAATACAATGAGACAAAAACTGTAACCCAAATTATTATGGGATCAAAATCGACAAATCACCTAAACTCAGAAACCAAAAATGTAATTTAGTATAAAGCTTACTAATTTTATAAATATATACATAAAACAACAATTATACCGAAAATGCACCTGCAACTTCCAAATAGAAAATGCCCCGCTTCTTTTATTCCTTTTAATTATTTGATTGCATTTTTTGATATTACTTTTTTCCGGATTTATTTTCCCTAATTCAGATGATGGCACTTTTGTAATCACAGTTGTAAAAAAGATGGCATTTTCCCTAAATTAAAAAGTCACACCAAACAATATATTTAACAGGTAGATATCTTTAAATATAAATTAACATGAAAACAACAATTATACCGAAAATGCCCCTGCAACTTCCAAATAGATAAGATAACAATTATTAATGACAAAAAATTATGAATTACTAAAATAAAATAAGGACAAAAACTGCAAGCCAAATTTTTTTGGGACATCTTTCAACAATTCAACTAAACTGAGGAAACAAAAATGTAATTTAGTCTAAAACTAACTAATTTTATAAACCTATAAATAAACTAAAGACTTGTATTTTCACTAAAGTTAGCCAAAAGATTGATACCAGTTTTTGGACGTATATATTTTATAAATATATACATAAACTAAAGAGTTGTATTTTATAAATATATTACTAATTTTATAAATATATACATAAAACAACAATTATACCGAAAATGCCCCTGCAACTTCCAAATATAAAATGCCCCGCTTCCTTTATTCTTTTTAATTATTTGATTGCATTTTTTGATATTACTTTTTTCCGGATTTATTTTCCCTAATTTAACAGATGGCATTTTCGTAATTATAGTTGTAACAACAAAATGCCCCTGCAACTTACAATTAGATAACATAACAATTAGTAATGGTAATGTAGATATCCTGAATTTGTACTGCCAATTGCTTTTTTTTGATAATACATTAATACGTAAATAGACCAAGTAATAATAATTGACATCATAAATATTCAAAATTAAAAATAATACGAAAAAATTCAAAATATCTTTAAAAGCAAATAAACATCAAAATATATTAAATTTGTGTTAAAACCAAAATCAACTAACTTGTCCACTTTAAAACAATAAAAATATCCAAAAATATTCAAAACCAATAATATTTGACATCCTAAATATCCAAAAATAAAAATCATACCAAACAATCAAAATATCTTTAAAACCAAAACAAGTGATCAAAATATATTAAATGTGTGTTATAACCAATACCAACTCACTTCTTCAATTTTGGAATTAAGAGTGGAGTTTCCTCTTCGATTGATTTTCTTTTAGCCTTAGTTGAACTTAAATCATCTCCAGAATCAACGTCATAAATTTCTTGGAGGCTACGCTTCAAATCAGTTGATATTTTGCTAGGACTTGTTGCGGTTGATTTATCAACCGTTGAGGGTGTAAAACTTTCATCTGTTTGTGAGATCACATCCTAATTTAAAAAAAATAATAAGTATTTAATTGGAACAATTAAATATAAATAAAAGTTAATAAAACGAATTGAAAAACCTTTTGAACAGGCTGTACAACATCATCTGATTCCAAAGGAACTTGATTTAAGGAGACAGATTGAATACTCTAAAAAATAAAATGGAAATATGTTAATCGTTATGTATTTAAATAGTAAAGAATTATAAATGTTGAACAGTAAAAGGTTATGTACCATAAGTTCTATTTTACTTTCCAATTCAGAAACAATGGACATATCTTCTGTAACTTTGAGAACTGTGTAGATATTATTATAGTTGTTGACATTGTATTCTGTAATATCTACAAGAAAACCAAACTTGCGGTTTTTCAACACGTTAAGTTGCATTGGAAATAGTCCATCACTGTCTCCGGCCTGTAAGATATATTTTAATAAATTAAAAAAAAAGTAAATGTTTTCTGATTTTAAGATATGAATAATATACCGCTTCATGTATCTTTTTCAACTCGTATGTAGTTATATTTAACAGCCTCTTTGCTTCCCTATCAAAAAGAGTCAATCCAATGGTGTAAGTACAATCTTGTACGTTGATTGGAATTATATACCTAAAATAAAAAAATTAGGTAATTGTTAATTTTTTTGAAAGATTGAAAAAATTAATATAAATAAATATGTGTTTACTTTATAACTGTATGAAATTCAGATTTTTTGCAATGTGGATTTGTACACTCGACAATAACAGTTTCTGAAATTTTTTCAGGGTCGGTATACGAATGATTGGCTTTGGGAACAGGGGTTATTTTTTTTCACATTTGTTGCATGCTTCATAATACCATGGTAGATTCTACCTTATATTAACAATGGAAGCAACTAATAAAAACTTCATTTCCTGTATCAAATAAAATGTAAAAGTTATTAAAATAAATTGTGCAAAAATAAAATGTAAAACATATCAAATAATGCAATATACCTTAAGTGGTTCGGTGATCTCACAAACTGTTTTTAATGGAAAATTGCCTTTAAAGTCATCTATATATGAAGAAGAGTAGCTTTGAAGTGTAGTTATGCTTTTTTCAGTTATACCGACATTGTCATGACATTTCAATCTGTAATGTTTAAATTAAATTCAAAAATATTAGGATTTGTGTTACTTTAAGTTAAAATACATTATAAAAAAATAAAAAACAATTGGAAACTAACTTATTTTTAAACTCATTAATTTCATAAATGTCAGAATTTATGAACAATTTCGTTACTTCAAACTGACTTTTAGCTTCACCAATTCCTTTAAAAAAAGTATAGAAAAACAATAATTATAAACATGTATATATAAAGAGTGAATACAAACCATTCCAAATGTTTAGCTTCAAAAACTGCATCACTATAACAACACAATTAACCGTCGGGTTATTTTTTAGGTATTCTGACATTTGATATGCTTGACTTCCAAAAATAGTAACCTTCAGATGTACAGAACTAAATAAACAAAGAAATTAGTTATTAATATTAGATTGTGATTAATTAAAGATAATAAAGAAATTAAAAAATATAATCTCACTCTAGGTTGCTAAGAGTGAGTTTTATATAATGCTTGGATGTTACAGGATTTGACGTTTCAAGAGGCCTAAATGACACGATCTGTCCAATAACATTTACACAAGAGACAACACAAGATAAACTATTGCATTAATATTATAATATTTAAATAATAAAATGTATAACCAAGAACACAAGTGATAAAAAATGATTCGAATAAAATTTAATAACTAACCAAAGAATGTGTTTCTTGGGCATGTTTGTTCTATGATAAAATTAAAATCAACAAACATAAATCTATTAACCGGACCCGAGAAATCATCACATTTTTTTAGGATGCTTTTCCAATCCAAAGTTAAGGTTTGTTTATGACCTGTATAACTAAAACCATTAGTAACAGCAGCCATATTGGGTTTTATAATTATATAACTTTCATCTTCCTTTAAAAGATGACGAAATCTGGAGAAATTCTGATTGAAGACACGAGCATGATATTGTGTACCGTGTTAAAAAAAAATAAATAAGAATTATTATTTTGTTGAAACATATGTAATATTGAATGAGGTATAAAAAATATATGAAATACAACAAACCTCCTCGTCCATCAAGATCATTTCAATTGAACAAACTTTATTATTTTTGACAAAGTTCCAAATTTTAAGCACCCGAACCTTGATATGTGATTTTTCATCTATCTGCTCAATGTTATTTAGGTAAACTTTATTCCCTATATTCATTTTCTGCAAGAAAATTTAAACCATATAGAATTGTAAGCAAAAATAGTAACCTTCGTGACTGTACAGAACATCCTAACTAACAACTAAAACAGAGAAATTATAAATCAGCACATGACAAAAACCAATAATTCATATACATAAACTGAAGAGTTGTATTTTATAAATATATTACTAATTTTATAAATATATACATAAAACAACAATTATACCGAAAATGCCCCTGCAACTTCCTAATAGATAAGATAACAATTATTAATGACAAAAAATTATGAATTACTAAAATAAAATAAGGACAAAAACTGCAAGCCAAATTTTTTTGGGACCAAAATCGACAATTCAACTAAACTGGGGAAACAAAAATGTAATTTAGTCTAAAACTAACTAATTTTATAAACCCATGAAGGCAAATTTAGTTGCTTGAAATGGTAAAAAGTGTTGGAATAATTGTTGTTGTCATTTTGTTTTTCATATGTGAATTTATGCCAGAAATGTAACAACAAAATGGCTCTTTTTTCACGTAATTATATTAGTATATTTGTATTTAGCGGGTAGATATCTGTAAATATAAAATTAACATGAAACACAACATATATACCGATTATCGAAGTTGCCCCTGCAACTTATAATTAGATAACATAACAATTAGTAATGGTAATGTAGATATCCTGAATTTGTACTGCCAAATGCTTTTTTTTTTATAATACATTAATACGTAAATAGACCAAGTAATAATAATTGACATCATAAATTAGGTTCACAGTAACAGCAAAACAAAGTAAATGTAACAGCAAAACAAACAAAACATACTGTAACTGTTAAAGCTTTAGATCTGAAGACGACACTCTTTTTTTTTTTTAACAAAATCAAGTTCTCGTGTTCATTATGTTTTTCGTGTTTTTAACTGAAGAGGTAGAAGAAGAAGATGATTAAGAAGAATAAGAAAAAGAAGAAGAAGAAGATCAATCATATAATGACAACATGACAGAAACTGATAAATCAGATCATGAAGAGCATAGAAACATTGGTAATCTTGATTTGTGGTTGTTAATTCCAATAAAAAGAAGCCGATCATAACATAATTAAAGAAGCCTGATATTTGAAAACACTAACCTGATATTTGATTATTGAAGCGTTGCAGAATCAAGAAGAATAACGTTTGCAAAGATTTCTATGGAGCAGAATGGACAACACAAAAGAACCGTATAGATGGTATAATTGTATTGTATTGTATATATTTCGGTATTTGATAAATTACTGTAGATTTTTTGGGATTTAATCACTGCAAATTATTTAATTTGCAATCAAAGTTAACAAACTTCCAAATTAAATCGGGAATTTCGAATCTGAAATTTGAATAACCTATTTTTTCAAATTATTTCCATAACTTTTATTAATTTAAAATTATTGGTTGCATATTTTGAATGCAGGTGTTTCCGGATTTTTCCAGATTTATTGCATCTGTTTGATTTCATTTGGAGTGAATGACATTTACGTAAATAAAGATGAATAAAATGAGCGGGAAAACTCGATTTTGGGGGTCTTGGAGATTGACACGTGGCAGATTTCTACTTATTTATTAGGATAGGGGATTTTTTTAAGTTGTTATAAAATAAATCAATACATTTTATATATAACCCTTTTAGCCGATTTTATTTTTATATCATCAAGCATTATGAAATTCATAAATTGATTATATGAAGATATCTTTGATTTTTGTTTGAGTGCTTTATAGTTTATACAAAAAATTGTTTGCTAAATCATAAAGATTGCTGTGACATTTGCAAATCAAATCAAATTAATAATTTTGGCTGACCAATCGAAATGACTGAGAATAGTTTAGGGAAAGTTATGGTTATATATTTCAACTTTTACGTAGAAACAACAATTTCTACTATTCATTTCCAAGTAAAAAAAGAATGAAATTAAAAAAATCAAGGAACTAAGGATCATGCAAAAAAAGCAACTGAAATCAACCGATTAGGCTTTATATCAAATGCTACCACTTATTAAAAGTTTTAGCATATGTCAATTTGGTCGAATGTCCAATTTATCATTATACATACCAATTTAAGTAAATTGATATCAAACTATTCGGCACAACTTGTTGATTAAGTAACATTCAGATGATCAAATCTAATAAAATTATTTCAGCTTAACCAGTTAATTCAAATTTGACTTAATCATAACAGTTTCATATGAGTTCAGATGAACCAGTGTCTAATGATAATCATTTGGTATGAAACGCTTCAAAAACAATTTGACCAATGTTTAAATAAGTTTGGGGTGACTTGTAAATATCAAAATGTAACATTTAAACAAAACCAATATTACATACTATTTTAACATTTATAAGATTTTGTAGACACGAGAAAAAAGATAAAATTTCACAATTACATATGTTAAAAAGTCGAGAATGAAGTCTCGAGTATACGTTAAGAATATGTACTCGTTTCAATTTAAAATGCTTCTACGAATGGAAAAGTCTTTATTATTATTTTATGATTTATGAAAAGCAATATTTTTTTTGGCGTATTTTATATTTTATTAGGGTAGGGAGAGTGATAGGACTCCTCATGCCATGTTCTCCATGAGTAGTCTTTCTTCACTAAAAAACTAAAATGGCGAACTAAATAAGAATTCCATAAAAATATTGCAGGAGAGAGTACACACAAAAGCGACAGATTAAGACAAGTGAAGAAGACGACATAGCTGTCTCTCTCTCTGTCTCTCTCTCTCTAAAACATGCTTTTGGGCATCTCAACCCCCTGGCTCTTCTTTCCATTCATCTTTCGGGCCCTTTTTTGACCTCTTTATTCTAATCTTCTACAAACCCTTCAAAATCAAAGCGTTTTTGAACTGGGTTTTGAAATGTATTCAGGGATTCACTCCATTTCGTTGGACGGAAGTAGTTTAGGGCATGGTGAGTTTCCTGGTCAGTTAGACGCTAACAATTTCGTCGGCGATCCGTGTTTGGTGTTGACCACGGATCCGAAGCCTCGTCTCCGGTGGACGGCGGAGCTCCATGAGAGATTTATCGATGCCGTTACTCAACTTGGTGGCCCCGATAGTGAGTATTTTATTGCTAATTTCGAGTTCCATGATTATCTTGTGGAATTTTCTAGCTTTATTCCATGTTTATATATTTTTCTAGGGTTTAGCGAACCTCCCAAATACATTATCTGGGACCAACATGTTACTTTTATCGTCATCAATTCATGGTGGAGTTTCATAAATAAATCTTTATCCACAATTTCATTTGGAAATCATTAGGGCTATCATCAAAAGACAAGTTATATCTTCTCTCTCTTGAACAAAGGGGGAATTAAAGTAGTCATTTTGAGGTCTTACTTGCTTTTTCCAAAGTGATTATTGTTAAAATAAAAACTGGATAAAAGGTAGTTAAAGATAAGCTAGGGACGTCGCTTCTTCAAATCTAATTATTTGACCATAAAATTGGAATGATCAGCTTTTGTTAGATTATTTTGACTTGACAAATTGAAGAATTTTTTGCAGTTTGTCATTTCATGAAGAGAAGATTCTTTTTTTATTTGAATCTTGTTATATTGTGTTTAGATATTTAGTGAGTTTATTCTGTTAAATAACTTATTATAATCCACTTAGTTTTTGGCATGTTGCTAACTAGTGATGTATAGTAATTGCAATCTGAAACTTGGTTGGAACTTTATTATGTATGTGGTCAATGTCGAATGTTGACTTGGCTTAATGTTTTTTGATATCATTTGTTCTGATGTATGCGAGTATGCATATAGTTGAATGTGAATTTTGAAGTAAAATAAATATACTTGGTTGAAATTGCACAAAGTCAATAATTTCTCACAATAGATGACCTATCCTATGATTCCTATCCATAATAACTATGTTTCTTATACGTATTTTAGAAGCAACTCCAAAGACAATCATGAGGACAATGGGCGTAAAAGGCCTCACCCTTTATCATTTGAAGTCACATCTTCAGGTTTGTCAAATTCACTACTTTCAAATATACTTTTTTTGTTGCATTTCGCATAGGTGATTATGTGATGTTGAATTATCAGAATCGGAATCAGATAATATTTGGATGTGTTTCTGTTGTTTGAAGTTGTAATAATAATTAATAAATAATCACTTCTGAAACATGTAGGAAACTATGATTATTCACAGAAGTAATAGTTAAACAAGGGCATATAAGTAATTTTACTCTACCATAAGCCAAAGTAGGTTAACCAAACCTAAAAAACTTATGTTATTTGATCTTGCAGAAATACCGGCTGGGGAAACAATCTTGCAAAGAGTTAACAGAGAATTCCAAAGATGGTAATGACTCTATGACCCCCGGTATTTCCATTTATAAAGACCAAAATACCCTCGTTATTATATATAATATATTGGTATTTATTTATTTTTTAGTTACAATCTTGATTCTCTAATAATGGACACGGTTGGATTTATAGCATCTTGCATTGCTGAGAGTCAAGACACGGGTTCATCCACAACATCATCAACAAGAATGATGCCACAAGATTCAAATGAGTATGTTGAATTTAGGGTTTCATTTTCATTTTCATTTTCAAAAAAAAAAAAAGTTGAATTTAGGGTTCTTATTTCTTAACACGTGGTGTTGTATGATCATGTGTGCTAAACCTCATTAATTGTTTGTTTTACAACAGTGGCTTCCAGGTTACAGAAGCTTTGAGAGTGCAAATGGAAGTCCAAAGAAGATTACATGAACAACTAGAGGTTAGTTTTTTGAACACCTTCTTTTCCTTTTTCTTCAAATTTGTAAACATGCCAAAAAGAAAATGTTGAAATGCCACAATTTCATTAACTAGTAACAAAGTTTCACAATTGTTCACTTTTGTGAAATTTTGTTCTATTGTAAGATTTTGTTGTAGCGACATCAATACTAATATTTATTTATATTCATTGTAGTGATTATAGCATTAATGTCTTCTCGACCAATAATGAGATTGCTTAGAGAAAAAAAAAATTGGATTTAAAAACTTAATAATACATCTGGACTCCAAATTTACTTTTTAAAAAAGTTATTCATAAAAAAATATATTATTTGTAATGATTTTCAGGTTCAACGTCGACTACAGCTTCGAATAGAAGCACAAGGGAAATATCTTCAATCAATTTTGGAAAAAGCATGTAAAGCTCTAAACGATCAAGCAGTTGCAACAGCTGGATTAGAAGCAGCTAGAGAGGAGCTTTCAGAGCTTGCAATCAAGGTAGCCAATGATTGTCCGCCATCTGTCATCCCAATCCCTTCATTTCCAGAAGTTGCTGCTTATCTTGAAAATGGAATCGCACCCAGTGTTGACAGCTGTTTGACATCAAACGGGAGCCCTGTTTCACCAGCTGTTCTTAAGAAGAGACAACGGGCCATGTTTAATGGTGGAGATTCTTTGCAGTCGACCAGAATTGATGATGTTTGGATCGCTTAAGTTAATGCATTCAATTTCTATTTTTTTTTTCTTTTTCTGTTTTGCTTTTGTTCTATCTTCAATTTGGGATCACCGATTGTTCTCGATCATTTGTAACCTTAGTTGTTGTGAATTGCAAAACAAGAAACTGATTGTCTTCAATCGATTTGGGTTCGTATGGTTTTTGTTTTGTGGGTCTCATTTTCAGTGGAAAGAATTATAAAATGAAATGGGTAAAGCGAATTTGACATTAAGAATGAAATGATTACGATGAAGAATGTGGTTTAAATGATATTAGTGGGGCGTTGTAATATCTTCCTCCACCTTCGAGATTTGAATCAGGGAAGAATTTTTAATTCAAAAGTTGGAAGACCATTGTCGATTCGCTTTTCTAGAACCAGATTCTTTCATCTTTATCCTCTTTTTCCCCTCTTTATGTAAGCATTACTTACTCGAACAAATCTATCAGTTCGACAGTTCCTCCATCTCTCTTCAAATAATCGAAGCTTCAATGGGTAAGTATCTTCATTTTCATTAACTGAATTCTCTTTTGTTTAACTGTCTTGCTTCTGTTCTCAATTGTGTTTCGCTTGTTACTAATTATAAACCTGAAACCCACGAATCTAAAGTATGGTTGATATCTAAAGTATGGTTGATGCCCACCAAAGGTTTGATCTTTTGTCTGAATGATCTTCCCATGCTGTAACTTGTAGTTCTTAGTTATGTTCATTGATTTTGTCACCCTATTGAACTCCAGATGTTAAAATCAATAAATTCATGGATTTATAGCAGATTTCTTAGTTTTCATTTAACTGAAAACCTGAAATGAAAATGTCAATCTAGTGCTAAAAATCTGATCTAGGTTTGAAGGATTAGTGATCTGAAATGGTAATTTATGAATCCGTTTTCTTAAAGGTACACCTCAAACACTCACTTCCTTCAAGTCGTTGTCGAGTAAAGTTGGGGGTATGCTATGTTGTTGCAATTCAGTGAATCGCTATGAGAGGTTGGACAATAAACTTGAAAGAAAAATGATGGAGGTCAAGCAAAGTAGCTTACAAGGACAAACCAGTTTTAGATCTATCAACAGCATAATCTTGAGGTTCCCTCGATTCAAAGAAGGATTAAAGGAGATTCGAGGCGTTTTTGAACTATATGGTAAGTTCATCAAGATTTTCCCTTTTACCTTTCCATGTAAATCCGTTTAACGCCTCAAAACCGAAGTTACAGACTACCCCACTAACATATTCACCAAGTTAAAATCATGATTAAAGTTATTGGTAACACACATAGATACATAGATCTAATGTTATAAACTACTCCAATAACCTTCAGATCAACCTAAAACCTTGATAAAAGCTATTGGTAGCCCATATAGATCTATGTAATATTCCAACATTAAAGTTACCGGATGAGTATAATACCACGTGGATCAACTTTTAAAGTCTTCTATTAGACTAGCCCAAAAATCTATAAATCAAACTTAAAACCATGATAAAAGGTGTCTTCCACACAAAACTTTTGAGAACTTTTGTGCGTATTCCACACGGAACTTTTTACAGTTTTTAGTAGCTTTTAACTTTTAGATTTTAAAAAAAAACTTAAAAAGAAAAACTTCTTTCGTCAGTAAAAGCTTTTGACTTTTATTTTAAATAAAAAACTCATAATCGAAAAACTACTTCAAGTAGTTTTTGGTTTTTATCTAATTTTACAATTTGAAAAGTTAAAAGATTCTTTTGCCGAACACTTCTACGCAATTAAAAGCTACAACTTCCTTTTTTCATTGAGTTTTGCCAATCACCCTTTAGCTTTTAGTTTTTCCGAAAAGCTCGGAAAAAAAAGCTTAGGTTCGGCAGTAAGAGTTTTTTAACTTTTATTCTAAGCAACTCATCATTCAAAATCTATTTCAAGTAGCTTTTAAGAACTTTTAGTTTTTGATTTTTACGTAAGTTTATACAAAAGCCAACAACTGTATTTTCTAAACACTTTTATACAAATAAAAACTACATTTTCCATCTTTCAGCTTCCCATTAACAGATTCCACCTTTGGACTACAACTAATTTTGTTAAACAATCCCAAAATATATCGGTAGCCTACAAAGATTCATGCAACTGTCTAAACCCAAACTTTTATAAAAAGCCAATAAGAAATCAGATATTGGTAATTACGTAGATATGTGTTACATCCCAAACCCAAAGTTGTATCCTAATACTTTCTCTTTCCCAAAATTATTGTCCACATACAAAAAACACAAACAGATTAAGGAAACATTAATTACCACTAATTTTTTTTAAATGAAATGACAATTATATCTTTTTGTTGTATTTAATTTCATGATAGTTGCATTTAATTCAATAATAGTTTAACTAAAAATAAAGGGTATTTTAATAAAAGTGATATTTATTTTTAGAAGACAAAACTGCACAAGTAGTCTATTAGCTGAAAATTGCCACTTTGGTCAAAAAAGATTTGGACTAATACCAGAGGTCCAAACTTTTCATTTTGTTGCGAGTTTGGTTCAGTTTTCTATAAACTTTTTCATAATGACTATTTTGCCCTTATTTTTTTTTCCTTTTTCAGTTTTTTTATTATTTAAATACTTTTTTTGATTAAAAGAAAAAATAAAAAAGAAACTTTGCATTTTCTATTTTATTTTTATAAATTTTGTCTTTTTATAACAAAATAAAAAAAATGAAGTCTCTCTCTCGTTTAGTGTTACCGTTCATCGGAAACACAATTTCACTCGTCCGGAATCCCACCAAGTTCTGGGACCTTCAATCCGCCATGGCTAGATCCTCTGACATGGGATTTTCCGTCAACTATATAATCGGAAGATTCATCGTCTTCATCCGCTCTACCAACCTTTCCCACAAAGTCTTTGCTAACGTCAAACCCGACGCCTTCCACCTCGTCGGCCACCCATTTGGTAAAAAGCTTTTCGGCGAGCATAATCTTATTTACATGATGGGTCAAGAACACAAGGATTTACGACGCCGTATTGCCCCCAACTTCACCCCTAAAGCTCTTTCAACTTACACACAGCTTCAACAAGACATCATCCTCAAACACCTTAAATATTGGATGGAGTCGCCGGAATCCATCATCCTCAAACACAGCTTCAACAATAAATCATGGATAGAGTCGCCAGAATCCTACACTAAACCCTTTCCTCTCCGGTTGCTCTGCCGCGACATGAATTTAGAAACCAGTCAGAATGTTTTCGTTGGCCCGTATTTGAGTGGGGATTCGAGGAAGAGATTCGAAGTGGATTGCAATTTCTTCAATGTCGGATTAATGAAACTACCGATTGATTTATCGGGAACTGCTTTAAGAAACGCTAGATTAGCAGTATCGAGACTCATCGAAACCCTCTCCGTTTGCGCGGAGGATAGTAAAACAAAGATGAAAACCGGCGAGGATCCTACTTGTTTAGTCGACTTCTGGATGCAAGACACTCTCCGTGAAATCGTCGCCGCGGAAGAAGCTGGAGAACAACAACCACCACCGCACAGCAACACCACCGAGATCGGCGGCCACCTCTTCAACTTCCTATTCGCATCACAAGACGCCTCCACCTCCTCCCTCCTATGGGCGGTGACGTTACTCGACTCCCACCCGAAGGTCTTGGAGAGAGTAAGAAAACGCCCCTCAATTTCTAGTCATTAAACGCACTATTTGAGAGAGAGATATTTCATTTTTGTTTTTTTTATTTTGTAATAAAAAATTATAAAAATAAAATAGAAAATATAAATTTTCTTTTTTATTTTTTCTTTTAATCAAAAAAGTATTTAAATAATAAAAAAACTGAAAAAGAAAAAAAAATAAGGGCAAAATAGTTATTATGAAAAAGTTTATAGAAAACTGGACCAAACTCGCAACAAAATGAAAAGTTTGGACCGCTGGTGTTAGTCGAAACTTTTTTGGATCAAAGTAGCAATTTTCAGCTAACCACAGGGACCATTTGTGTAGTTTTGTCTTTTTAGAAATAAACTATTATTTTAAGACAAACATGTACTATTAATTTGAAACGGATACAGATAGATTATAATAAACTTGGATACAGATAGATTATAATAAACTTCAAAAAAGAAAACGTGTATTATTAATTTGGAACTAGGAATTATAATAAAGTAGTATATACTTTTTTTTAACCCCAATTACAGAATTGGCGCGGTAAATCTGATAAAGTAGTATATACTTTTTTAACCCCAATTACAGAATTGGCGCGGTAAATCTGCATAACATTCGAACCTAAAGTTACTAGGTTTAAGATTATCATTATAGTATTCACAATTCTTACTTGGGTAATTTTTATACTTTGTAGATGAAGATTCAAATGGAACCATCGACAACGAGGAGCTAAAACGATGCTTACAGAAGCTGCAATTTCAATGCACCGATCAAGAAATCGGCGATCTTTTCGTGTCATGTGACGTGGACGATAGCAACGGGATACAATTTAACGAATTCATTGTTCTTTTATGTCTGATTCACCTTCTCGCGGGTCCTTCTTCCTCATCTCAATCGGTAACCCTTTCTTCTTCGATCTCTTAATACCGATTCTGAATGAAATCCAACTAAAAATCAAAAATCGCGTTTCAGACATCGACAGTGGGGTCCCCGGAGCTCAAAGCAACATTCGATACCATAATCGAAGCTTTCTTGTTTCTTGATAAAAATGGCGACGGAAAGCTGAACAAGAAGGATATGATTAAAGCTATGAACGAAGATGACCCGATGGAGAAATCGCCTACGCGTATCACCAAAACCCGATTCAGTAATCCTATTGCTTTCAACTATTAAATGTTTTTGTGAGTTGATGCAAATTTTTGAGTTTTTGTTTTGAATAAATGCAGAAGAAATGGACTGGAATAAAGATGGGAAAGTTAGCTTTAGGGAATTCCTCTTCTCTTTGATCGATTGGGTCGGATTTGACTCCACCGATGAAGTGCCTGTAACGCCGAGTTGATTCCGGTGTACGACAATGGTGAAATTATCAGGCTTTTAGACTCCAAATCTTCTTCGTGTTATATGTTTTTAGTTCATATATATTCTTATTTCGTAAAAATACAATTTGAGTATTTACAATTTTTATAATATAGTTTTTGACAAAAGTGTCCCTTGTCAACAAGAATCAAATTGTCTCTCATTTAAATTCATTCATACTCTTATGCATAATTTTGGGCAATGAAGATCATTCATAAACATAATATGATACACAATCACAAATCAGAAACAAGAAGAGCATCCCAAATTGAATCCATGTCTAAAGACGGCATTCTACTAAGCTGAATCCCTTCTCTGGCATCTGGCGGCACCACCACTTTAACCTCTGTCCCACCTACAACCACCACGGATGCCGGTAAACCTGCCTCCGGCAATGGTGGTGCTAAGTCATCATTACCCTTCGTGTCCACCATCTCTCTTGACATGGCTTGCAACTTCGCTTTGAGCAAAGTTGCAGTGTCGCCGTTTATTGAGTTAGCTTTCAGCTGTTTTTTTAGATTTGGGAAGTTTAAAAACGCGCAATCACCTCTTAGAATATATGCAGCTGTATCATATGCAAATGCAGCATCTTCGGCTTTTTCAAATGTTCCAAGCCATACACGTGTCCGGTTTCTTGGTAACCGGATTTCGGCTACCCATTTTCCCCATTGCCTTTGCCTTACGCCTCTAAATAGCTTCCTTGGTGAACATATTGGAGCGCTTTCGAATGTCGTATTTAGAATATGTCTCCTGGTGTATTTCATTGGTTGAGCTCTGGTATTCAACCAATAATGATCGCTAGTTGACTTCTGGCTGATCTTTAGCCAATCTGTTGGTTGCAGATTGGCTACAACCTCGAGGTTTTGGATAAACCTTGAGGTGTTGGTGAATAAACTTGAAGATGGTATGGTGGCTTCTGCGAAGCCACCAAAATCTGGTGTCAAGAACGATAATATTGAACAATTGCCGCCATCGCTTGCTCCATGAGTGGCGGGGTTATATTGAGTGTTTGAAAGGTTGGAATCGGAAAATGTTTGTGAGGCTTCTAGTCTTTGATGAAAATAAGAAGAAACTTGTGGAAAAAGATTGTGATTCTCCATTATAATTGAAAGAGATGGGAGGTTCAAGTGGGGCAAAGATGTGAAGACTTTAAGGTAATAAGGTTTATATATAGGTTGATTACTAAAAGAAAACAAACCAACAAACCAACTATCTGCTTCATATTCTATTTAATCATAATAAAAAAAAGGGGTGGGATAGACTTACTTTTGAAGAAAAATGTAAATAATAAATTAACGTTTATTAATTGTGTTGAATGTTTATTAATTGTGTTTGAATGAATTTTTTTAGAAAACCTTTTTTTATATAACGGCAAACACAGTTCATTCACTACTTCAAAATACTTTATTTTGTCTCCAACGAACTTGAATCATCTTAAAACTTGTTTGAGATGCCTTTCCAATTACATCTTATATCGTTGGACAACAAGGCATTTGGTTGTTTTTAGTTATGTTATTAAATAAATCTTAAACACATCGTTTAATATGCATACCGAATAATAAAATGAAAGAACTCAAACTTGTCCAATATCTTATGTGTTATATGTCAAAGCGTTTATATACTGTTATATTTCTATTTGAAGTTTTTTTTTTTTTTTTTTTTTTTTTTTTTTTTTTTTTATCGAAATCATAATTGAGAACAATGATAAGTATATGTTTTTGTAAATTGGTCAAAATTATACTTTGAAGCAACATTTTTGATTTTATACATAGTCTAGCGGAACTAAAAGTTGGTCGGTCTGAATCAATTATTTAAAATCTAGGGTGACAATTTATGACACGACACGACAAAAATACACGAAACGAAACGAAATTGGGACGAAATTGAAATTTGAATTCGTGTTCGTGTTAACAGTAAAAAACACGACGTCGTGTCGTGTCGTGTTCGTGTTCAAAATTCGACACAAAATTGACACGATTTAGTAGTTCTTTATCGTGTTTGTCGTGTTATATTTGATAAAGTATTTATTAAATAAACTAGTTTTTAGTAAATATTATATTTGTCGTGTCGTGTCGTGTTTGTCGTTTTGTAATTCGTTCGTTTTCGTGTTAGTTAGACAATACACGACATCGTGTCGTGTCGTGTTCGTGTTACATAAAACTTTGTCGTATCGTGTCGTGTCAGACAGAAACACGAAACGATAGCACGATTTGCCACCCCTATTAAAATCTAATATTAAAAAAAAATATTATCTAGAGCTGTAATTAAACATTACCTTATACAACTAGATGTTTTAAATTGATTATTACCTGAAATGATTAAATCCAAAATTCAAAATGATGTATGCTCTCAACAACCTCCAACTCAACTCCACGCAAGCATTTGTGCTTGATAAGCTTTTCTATAGACCAATGGAACTTTCACACGTCATATACACCTTGAGCCTTTTTAAGTATATACGATGACAACTTTTATCTTTGTAGTTTATCAATTCTAGTATATCCTTTTACACATTTGATTCATATTAAAATGGATAATATATATTAAAATGGATAATATATTAAAATGGATAATATAGTTAAAACAAAAATTAGCATCTTCTTAAGTGTCAAACCCATGTTAACAAAGCAACATTATATCCTTCCAGGAATACTTTTGAATTAATAATTTACATAATTTAAATACCACATGATTTACTTATACAAATCAAAACACCATTGCAAATATAACATCAAATACAAGTTTTAAAGATTTAAGCTGACAAACATATCCAATGAAAATTTAGTGAAGATCCAACACTCTTTGATGTGTTCGATGATGTTTTCTTTTAGAAATTTTAGCATTTACTTTTTCTTTTTCTTTAGAAAAAAACTTAAATTTAAGAAAAGCTTTATTTGAAAGTACAAGTTTGAATTTTTAATTTTAAATAAAAAAACAATAGAAATTGTTCATTTTTATCCAACACTATATCTTTCTTTATTAATATATTCAAAATAAATAAAGACTAAAAGAAAACATTAAATTTAAAATGTTAATGAAAAAAACACAATTAAACAAATAACATCAAATAAAAAAAATAAAACTAAATAAATAACATCAAAATAAAAAAAATACAACTAGTTGCCCAAGTTGATTATTTAAGAGTTTGCAATATGTTCCACGAGTCCCGATGAAAAATAGTGGGTTTGTTACCCACATAATTTCTAAATAATATCTTGATTTACTTCTAGACTTTCTTGATCGGTTGGAAGATCATTTTTGGTGATGACATATTACTGGATCTTCGTCTATGAGAATTATATTGTATAATGTAATCAAACGTATATTATATTTCTAATTTTTATAGATGCACTACACATGTAGAGTTTCAAACTATAACGCAACGACTTATAAGGACACAAAAAGCTCATTCTACGTCCTTCTTTGTTGATTTCTTATGGTGTCCTAAACCTTTTTTTATTGTCGTCGTTTTGATAGGTAATTGTTTTTACCAAAGTTGATTACTAAATACTAGTTGATGTATTGTAGATGTGTACTTTTATAATAGATTAAAACCCATTTTGCCTTTAGCATCATAAAATAATCTAAAAATGGAAATTATTTGTCCATATCATCAACTATTTGTATGAATAGTTCCCTTTGCCTCCCAAATCATCTTCTAAACATCTCATCACTATATATATGAGAATATCAGCGGATTAATATTGCACAAGACAATCATGTGAAGCTTCACGATTTTTGATTACATGATTTCTTATATTTAATGATCCACTTGAACTTACACTATAATGAAAAGGGGAACGGAGTTTGAGCAATTTTTGACAAAATATATAAGTGTTATGGAGGACGGAATCGCTGAAGCACTCCAACCACGGCCGTCTCAATCGGTTTGGGGGCTCTAAGCGAACCAAAAATTTGGGGCCCCTTGTTAAATATGGAAAACTGAAAACTCAAATTCGTTCCAACAATCCAACTTGATTCACTGATTGTATATACTGTAGTCTTTGTAATCAATGAACAATGGAATAAAAAATTAGATAAATGAAAAAATAAGAACCGAAAAGTATTAACCCATGGAATAAAAAATCAGATTAAGAAAGATTCATTCTCGTTTGAATCTGCTAAAGAACAAGAGATGCTGTATAGTAAGACAACTCATAAACGATTTTGATTGAACATGGTCACTACCAATCTACCTTCGATCAGGATTTTTAAAACAAACATGATTTTGATCGAAAATAAATAAATTCTGATTCCATTCTAATTCCACAAACCAAAGCCAATAACCCTAATCAGCTTTAAGTATTAACCATAATTAGATAATCAAATGACAACATGACAGATAATGGAAAAATAAAAAGTGAAAAGTGAAAAAAAATTGCAAATATATTATCGTTTCAGTATCACTGTGAGTCTGTGACAACCTTCAATGGAGAATGAAGAAGCTGAGAATGGAGAAGGAAGAAGAAGAATTGAATGTAATGTATTTCAGCGGTTCCGACTTCAGAGTGTTCAAGCCGAGAATGGAGAAGGAAGAAGAAGAGCAGTAATCGTCGCTTGTACAATAACAAGAACAAAACCTCTTTTGAGGCGTTAGGCGTGCAGGGAATTGGATTTTTTTTAGGAATGGCCAAATGAAATATGGACGTGGTAATCGGAAATTGAGTTTAAGTGGGGCCCCTTAAAAGTGGGGGCCCTAAGCCCTATCTTTGTTAATCGACAAAACTGCAAAAATGGTCCCTATGGTTTCTTATTTTATGTGGTTATGGTCCAAACGTTTGAAAAATTGCAGATTTGGTCCTTTTCAACAAGTTTTATTGTGGTTTTGGTCCCTCATCCGTTAAGTTTAACTGGTTGGCTGTTAACTTTTTTAAATTGACAATTTTACCCTCAGGGACTGTCATGAGTATTAGTGACTTTGGTCCCTCATCCGTTAAGTTTAACTGGTTGGCTGTTAACTTTTTTAAATTGACAATTTTGCCCTCAATAATATAATATTTATTATGATATAAATATTATATATTAAAAATTATATGTATTGATATATAATAATTCAATAAAAAAGAATTGCTCTAACAAAATAAATTAAAAATCAACTAAAATAAATTAAAAATCCAATAAAACAATATTTATTAATATATAATATTATATATTAAAAATAATATCTATTAATATATAATACTTCAATAAAATAAAAAAGAATGTATGCAAAAATGGTCCTTATAGTATGGTAAAAGACAGAACTGCGAAAATTGTCCCTGGGGGTAAAATTGTCATTTTAAGGAAGTTAACAGCCAACCAGTTAAACTTAACGGACGAGGGACCAAAACCACAACACGACTTGTTGAAAAGGACCAAATCTACAACTTTTCAAACGCTTGGACCGTAACCACATAAAATGAGAAACCACAGGGACCATTTTTGCAGTTTTGTCTTGTTAATCTCTACATAAGGCTGGCCCTGACTCCAACCCGTCGGTCCCAAGGTGGATGGAATCGAACCCACCCAAGCCGAATCCCTCCTAACCCATCTTCCCCATATTCCTTCTCCTCCAACAATTTGAGAAACCCTCAATACCCTCTCTTTCTCTCTTGCTCTCCTCCCACCCATCCCTCTCCTCCTCCCTGGTCAAACCCGCTCACTCCAACCCGCTACGATTCCCTCATCCCTTATATTCATATGTAGTAGATGAAAACGTAGTGTTTGAACTTGATGATGAAGATAAATGTCAATACGTAGCGCCCGAACTTGATTATGAATCCAATTAATACTTGTAGAGTGGTTTGTGAAAATTGAAAAATGAGAGAGAATTAGTTTTTTTTTCTTTTTGAAAAATAAAACATGAATTAAAGTTTTTTTAATTGAAATTTAGCCGTTGGGAGTGCAATAGTTGGTACACACCTTAATTCCTCATTTTTTTCTGCAGCACCAAACACTGAAGGGGTGTTCCTGCCAATGCTACCCCATCCCGAGGTGCCCCCACTCCATCAAACACTGATGGGGTGTTCCCGCCAATGCTACCCCATCCCGAGGTGCCCCCACTCCATATTCAGACGACCCGTCCACTATTGTTGTGAAAAGGTCAAATGCATTTTTACAAAACAAGAAAATTTGTCTAGTTCATATTAAAAAGAATTTCG